TGGAAAAATCAACATGGAGGTTTTGTTGCGCCATCAGCGCCTTGGTTATTAGTAAATTCCGGACAACCGGGAGGCCAGTCGTCGATTCCGGGACTGTCCCGGCTGTTCCCGGGACGGTTGGTAGCCCTAGCATCAACAGGTCTTGAATAGTTTTAGATTTTGCCTACTTTCCCGATTTTCCGTAGGCTATATGTGTGTGTGTTGACTTGCATTGCCTCTATATTTGTTTTAGTGTTACGGAAAATCGAAATAAACTTTACTAACCGTGCGTTGCGTCTATATTATGTTTGTTACCGAGCGGGTGGGTTGTTAATGTAAGTGCGACTTATGGTGCGCCATGGGAATATAACTACTGATTTAAATCTGCATCAATAGCCTTTTAAAACTACTAAAATTAGGCTTGGTGTTTTGCAGTTTTGGCAAAGTATCGAGTTCGGTATGACTGTGAGAAATGTTGAATATCACATGCTTGATACTTTACATCCCATTCAATAGTCAACAGTATTCTTTTATTTGCAGTATAGCGTTTTCTACGCTAATGTCCTATGTCATGGATCAATAGTTCAAAAGCCACATTTTCGTGGTTTCCTGTTCTCTATTGCCTTCTGGTGTATACTGAACAAACTGTCCATTCATTGGAGCCGGCACCCAGTTGTCTATCCGGTCCTTGTGTACTATTGATAGGGACTGATTACAATTACATATCCGAGGCTGGTTAAAAGGATATTACGCCAAATGAAATTTAGTTACAAATAGCTAGATTGTAACTGAACTCTCCTAGCTCTATCCATCCAAAATCCAAGGATAGCAGTCGTTCTATGACATTCGGTCATTAGAATTTCGCTGGAGCTGGCCAATGCTGCCAGCACCACCATAATAATCATGTCATATAAACACAAAAAACTACCCAGTATTGCGGTATCGGGAGTTGTTCCTCCACACTTTTAAGTTCTGGGCTTAGCATTGGTCTTGCATATACAATGCTTGGTGGTGGTGACACACCGTGCCAAGCGTAGGGTTCAGGTAAGTGGTGGTGACACACCGTGCCAAGCATAGGGTTCAGGTAACCGCTGGTCGGTTACTGCTTCTTACACTATCAAGTCCATGCTTTTGAAAACAAATAACTGGACAACTAATTCATACCCGACCTGGACTGGTAACCGGACGAGGGGCTGTGGTTTGCCATATAATTAAGCCGTCTTCCCTGTCTCCCAGGGTAAATATGTAAATCCTATCCTCCCCAAACATGATATATGATCCATCTTGCAGATAGCCCAGGTGTATACAGTATAGTCTAAGTTAACCGGTAAAACGCAACAGATGCTTGGACTAGGGCAATTGCATCAATCATCTTACCCTGACATGGGCAAACTACGGCCAGTTAGGTAATTTAATCTGGCCCGCCTGATGCTGCCACAACCAAACTGAAACCAAATTTTCATGTTTTAGCTAAAAATAGCTCAAGGAATTTGTTGAGATTGCAATTAAATTTATCCACTATGTCATATTCAAAAGTCCCAACCGAAAAAAAAAATGAGAGATAATATCCACTCGACGGTACTCCCGTAGTATGTGTACCAGGTCACAGTCGGGACATAATTTTATTCTGATTTTCTTTATTACGAGTTCGGGGGCTGTCCATGTTAGCCAAGTATCCCCTACCCACAGGTTTTAGTCCCTTCACAACTTGATGTAAAATAGGCAAACAAAATTAGTTACCGGTACCTCCATATTGGTACACATACTTCTGGATCAGTCGACCAGTCTGTAAGCGTTCAGATTATTAAATTGTTTTATTCAACATTAAACAGTAAATGAATCAGTTAGAGGCTCGCATGTGAACAGCATATTTCGCTTCGTGAAATATACTGCTATCCAAGAGATATGTAATAAACTGAATGCGAAAAATTTCACTTTCCATCTATTATATTGTGGGTATTCATATATATATATATATTAAAAAGAAATGTTGCAGTGGATAAAAATTTCAAAAGCTAGTGTAATAATAAAAGTTAAAATAACATAAAAATTAAAAATATATAGGACGACTGCGCTCCAGAAGTGTGTGTACCAATAAGGAGTTAACTAATTTTGTTCGACTGCTTTACATCAAATTGTGTGAAGGGATTGAAACCAATGGGCGAGGGGTCTCTAAACTCATATAAAACAAAAATAAGGAAAATCAGAATAAAATTATGGCCTAACCCTTACCTAGTACACACACTATGGGAGTATCCTACAATGTTTTTGAAATGTACTTTTTGTATTGTGATATTCTACAGATGGAAATGCTAAATACTTCAGATATTTCAATATGGAACCCTCATTCTCCAAGAATGCCAAACCAATGGTTTGAACGCTAACTAATCTCTGGCTTTGTGGATTATTTTAAAGCCATAGATTGTTTTGGTAAAATCTATGATCAAGATTCCAATTATAAAATAGTAGCTCAGACAGTTGGCTCATTGTGCTAAACGTTGATACCATATACAATTAAAGTGATGATTTTTCAAATCTTTTTGAAATAAAAAATGATAATAATAAGCGCAGTGACTAAATTGGATCTTAAAATTTTTTTAAATTGGTTCAAAAAAAGACATGATAAATTTAAACCAAAAACATCATAAAACAACAACAAAGGTAAATCAATCACTAAGAAAAAATGGACAAGAATAAATTCAATTCCAATAAATTGAATAAAACATATCCTCTTCACGGTTTGATTGGTAAATACAGTGATAGATATCTTGGTAGCTGAACGATTCGAAACTCGGAAAATTTGTTAGCTCAAAAAGTATTTTTCGAAAGCTTGTAGCAAATATACCATGAATGAATTTATGGGTCCGCACTGTACACTGTACGTAGATAAGTTGAATCTGGAGCACATTCACGAATACTTCGAATTTCTTCATGCTTTTTCACATGGCGCCACATTTTTACGTACACGTAATAGAGAAAGCAAGGATACCTGGAAGCAAAGAAATTCCAAAATCCAGTTGAACTATTTTCGAACGCCTGCCTCACAGCCTCCGCATCTTCCAAAAGGTGAGTGTATCGGTTGCGAAAAAATCGCATCAAATCATACAAAGAATGCTCTTTGAAATTATTAGATTGCTCATAGATTACTGTAGAAGTGACAAGATTTACTTTTTGGTTCAATTTGCTCAATTCACCATCGATCTTGAGAGACTCAATCCATCCACTTTCAGAGAATACGAATCCACCAGACATGTTATACTTATCACTTAACGTTTTATCATATTTCTCTCGATATCGATCTCCAAATCCATCTTCCATTTTGAAATACCCAAAAACAGCACATATAAACTGACACTTCTTTGACTCTGACCAAAAAAATGGATGACTTAAAATTTTATTGTATTTATGCTTTCCAATATGCTTTCTAATATACATTACTAAATCAAAAGCTAAAATTGGTTCTTTGCAGCTCAAAAATCCGGTCAAGGATTTAATCAGTTCAGGGAATAAAATTTCGTGTTGTTTATCTATTAAAAAACGTAATAACAAAGATGCGTTTACTCTTTCCTGATACAGATCACTTAAACTTGGATTTCCTGGAAAAGTATCATCATTGTCTGATACAAGACCATTGGAGAGGACAAGTAGTGCAAATCTTGCAAAGCCTTCCATGTTGATAATATTGTTGCCGGCCGCAGGTTCAGCAATAGCAATCTGCTTTTTGTCTTTAGACAAATAAACACATGAGGAATCAATTGGTACAAAACCACCTACATTTTCATGCATGTACTTCAAGCAATGTATCACCTTTTGGAGTAACTCAATACGAAATGTAGCAGAAATTCCACTCTGCCTGTATCTGCCATTGTTTGTACCATGTATTTCACTTTGATCCTTTATCTTTATAACTTCTCGAATCGGCTGGTCAAAATAGACACTACTTGTCATTTCATTAGGTGCAGCTTGCTCTTTTCTTGAAAATGTCACAACATGATGGACAAGCTTTATTTCACAGTGACTTGTAGAATCTACTTTCCATTCATCCACTTCCATTTTAGAAGTTTTGTTATTCCCAGACAATAAAAATAATACGGTTTAACTAGTTAAATTTTTCAATACACTAGTATTCTATATTCTGAAATAAAACGATAAAAGTACTTTACAAATTCATTTCAACAAAAGGGCCAAATGCTGGATATTTCAAAAAATATTTGTATAGATTAAACATATGAATCTTACAAGTTCTGTACAATACTGACAATATGTGACAGGAATCTGGTGTTCCATGATGTAATAATTTACTCAAGTCTGTTTAGTATTTCTATTGCATTGTCAAATTTCAATAAAGGGTTACAATTTCATGAACTCACAGTGGAACAATCATGCTAGAACAGATAGCCTTGGCATGATGTGACAGATAGCATCTGTCATTCGAAACGTTTGTTTGATTAAAGAACGACAATCTCACCTCTCACAATTTTGCATTTGCTAAAATATAGAAGAAGTCCATACATTTATAAATGAAACTAAATGTAAATGACCATAAATACCAAAAGCCCAAATTAAGAAGTCAAATTGGGGCAATCTCACAAAGACACATCTTGTATATTCAGAATTATAAAATGAAGTTTAAATATCAAGTAAGTGATAACATATGTATCACCCAACAACGTTGAAATTTCTAAAAAGAATTTAATGCTAATTGGAATATTCCACTGAACCATTAAATGCACCTTAAACAGGTTATACTCTCGGAAAGAATGATAATGTCTGAGATGCATTATGCATTGAAAGTATAAAAAGATATAACGTACAAAGACAAGGCACAGGTACCACATAATTATAATTTTTGATTTGAGCTTGTTTCATTGAAAAAATTAAAATAGCGTTCTATAAACATACAAAACTGACATGCTCTGTACTTAGGACTGATAATTTTGGGCAAAAGAATTAGGTCTGTCATGATTTGAGAATTGAGAAAAGTAGTTTTTAGTTGATTATTTCCATTACCAATGCCAAATTTTATTGGAAAACTCTTGTGCAGTGGTTCTCAACTTTAACTCTTTTCCACTTTCATTGCACACATATTCTGCGGTTAATTAACTTTCTCATGGAAAAATAACAATGAAAAATTCCTCCTGCAAAAATAGACACTTCCACTTTAATAATTAAAATGTAAATTACCACTCAGTAGCAAAAACAGCATCATCATTCATTGCTAAACTAATTTAACAATAACTCTAGCAATTTTTAATAGGTTCGTGGCCCACCTGTTTTACCTGATTTACCTTGAATATCGAATGACTTGGGGCAAAAACTATACCTAAGCATAATGAGAATGAAAAATGTTATTATGTTATGTGAGGAGATGGGGGCTTTGCTCTTATTTTATGATTGCATCAACTTTTGGATATGAGAATCATTTAGAAGCCCTTGGCCAGTGTGAATATTTGATAAGACATAGATGAGGCATCTACAATATCTGAGGTTTGAAACTTACATTGACAGCAAAAAATACATTTACAAACACTAGGATAAAAAAAATTTATTAAGAACAATTACAATGACACCAAGTTTAAAAATGCACATTTAAACTAATGGACACAATTAAATTCAAACTAACTTTCAATACTAACATGTATAAATCAGAAAACTGTTGAAATACTACATTGTGATAATTCAGTGTTTCAGCATAACAAAAGGTATTCGGATATTATTCCAAATATTTTCAAATTTCGGTTCTTTGATAATATGGTCTTGGTCAGATGAAACGACAAATGACAAAAGTTACAAAAAAGGGGGCACAACACTTAGCGATTTAACTCAGGTATGTTTGCATGTTCAGTGCATATGAATATCCCAACACAATAGCATAAAAAATTGTTTCGAGGTTGCTCAATTTAAAATGAGAGTGCATGCTGAATAAATGAGTCCTCTCTTCTTTGCAAATGATTCATTCCAAGCTTGTAGTAGTAGGTTGTGCCTGACTTTTTTCAGGTCGCAAAATATCTCCATTCCAAAGTATAACCATTATTTCCTGGAATAAAATATAAAACAATGTGGTCAGAAGGAAGATACGAAGCTATTTCACTTCTATGAATATAAAAAGCGGGGCACTTACAGTCAGTAGTTATATAAGGCATTAATCTGTAACACAACTGATGCGATTGGCTGGGCAGGACAGATGTATGTTAGATATTGTATATAGATGTATAGTAACTGTTTCACTAATCCTACCACAAAGGTGAGTCCAAAGTTCATTTTGTTAATATCACTGCCATGCTTGACTGTGACCATTGTAAGCCTATCATAAAACTGGATAAATAGGACAGGATAAGATTTATATGTTTATCCAGGGGGGGTGGGAAGTCGATGAAGATGGCTTAAACACAGCTGTCCTGTGACCATTCCATGTAGGGTATGAAGTTAGTTAGTTAGTTATTTGTTTTCGGGGGCCTTCGGACTTGATGGTGGAGGAAGTCGTAACCGACCAGCGGTTAAATTGTTACAAAAATATACCTTTTCATTAGCAAGTTCTTCCAATCCATGTTGCAAAGTCTTTCTAACTTGTGGTTGCATTGATTGGAGTTCGAAGATTAGCTCTTTCGAGACATTTTTCAGAAGTTCGCAGACTGCTTCAGCATGGTGTCGCGTAACAATGAAAGTCGGATCATTTTCACTCATATTCAGTGTCTCAACCTAAAATAGATCATAGTAATTGTTGTAATATTAATGTCGATATTATTACTACAATGATTGTTTTGGCATTGTAGAAAAAAAGCATGTTAAAGCTGTTGGCTTGAAGGAAAAAGATACAACAAGCCATCTCTTTTTGATGCCAAGTCCAATACATATACTTGCCACGTTTTTCCCTTTATTTTTTGTGTGTATTGTTTCATTTACGCTAATGAATCGAAACAAAATCTGACACTTATTTTCTTCTTTTGCCCAGAATTGTGTTTTTAAGTATTCAAACTCAGCAAACATGCACGGTTATCCGCACTGTTCTGCCAAGTATATTCTTAACCCTCATCACGATGTACTAATTGTCGATATACAAAGAAATTTGAAATGAAATCTCAATGAGTTCAGATAATGAAATTGAATTAGCTCCACAAGATGTGGCCACTGTGGCACTATCACCGAGCAATCTGAAAAAAGTTATAGTCACATGGCAAAACTTGCGTTTCATTTGGTTAGCGTGCGTCAAGGTTGCTACATCTTATAAATTGTTCTTTTTCTTGTTTTAGTATAGCAGTAATGTTCAAGTTAATAAAAATCCCCGAAAAGAGTCTAAATGAGTTTTCCTCGAATTGTTTCACTACATGGCTCATATCAAATCAATTTATCATTCTGTTTTCCAGTTTGGGGTCTCACAAACCAACCTGAATATTTTTTTCTTTCAATGCTGAGCTAAGATCACAAATAGTTTCTGTAGAAAGCATGCAATTGCTCAGATCCAATTTTTTCATGCAATTATTCTCCAGCAGATGGGCTACTTCAACAACTCCTTGTTCAAGATTAGGATTACATGACATGTTCAATTCTTCAACCTGTAATAAAAGGCATATTTTGGATTCTAAAGAGACGTAAATATCCAAAATAGGGTGGGTAAGATCGAATCTAACAAATATTTTTATTTTTAATCAGCTTCATCCACACTCAGAAAATCCACTTTTTTCATGCAATCATTTTTCAGCAGACTGGCTACTTCAACAATTCCTTCTCCAAGTTTAGGATTGCATGACATATTTAATTCTTCAATCTGCAAGGAAGGGGACATTCTCGAGCATTTTCCATCCAACACATTTTTAAAGGATATATAATGAAATTTCACATGATATTAATTGATACTCCCGAAGTATGTGGACCGAGATAGCGGAAACCGGAACGTATTATGTGTACCAGGTTGGGGTTGAGTCATAATATTATTCCAATTTTCCTTATTTTAGGTATTTTACGAGTTCAGAGACTAGCCAAGTGACTCCTGTAATATTTGTACCTGAAATTATGGCTTACCCCTAACCTGGTACACATAATACATTCTGGTGTCCTCCATCTTTGTTCACCTACTTCGGGAGTACTTATTAATTAACTGTTATAGCCATAATGTCACATAAGAATGTGTTGGTTTATAACATGTACTCTATATGTAATAACTTACTTTGAGTTCCCGTTGCTCTATTGATTTTTTAAAAGCTTCCATGAGTTTTTTATTCAATTTACAACCTGCAATGTTCAGATTTTTTACTTCGAAGTTGACCACTGTTCTACCAAGTTCAGCCATTCCTTCAGCACCAAGAGTTTTATTGTAGCTGACGTCAAGTTTTGATATCTATAATGAAAGTAAAAAAGGTTTAAAAGTTTTGCAATACTAAATGATTGGGAATTTCTTCCTGAATTCATAGGCCAGCAATCTCCGCAACATTGTTTTTTGAGATATTGTGCAGTTCTTATAGTATGTCATGAATTCAAAACAGGCAAAAAAAACTGTTTTTAAACAGAAAGTTTTCTGCGTTATCATACATGAAAAACGCATACAAATCAAGAATAGTGATAGAAAAGGATCTTCCAGTTGCCGTCTTTCAAATTAAACCTTAAATTGATATGTATGTTTTAAACGCAGAGCCTAGAATTCTTATTATGCAGAATAAATGCAATTATTTACTCTTGTTTCATATATTTTATACAATTTTGTACAAGAAAATTGCTACTGTCAATAGTACCGTAGTCTTAAAATCGATATTCAATTATAAAGTGTTTTCCACAAAATTTTGTGTAAGCTCGACGAATGCTTGGGTGGCGAGAAATTGAAATATTATTTTCAGGGTCGTGCCAGAAATTATTACAGACCCCTGTTTACAGTAGCAATGCATTTTTTTTTTCGTGAGTTCATGAAACAGCGAGTTACGTTGAACAGAATTAAATCAATATGTGAAGACATTTTTAATGCTGGTATTAGTCATGGCTTAAATATTTTGCGCAACAAAAAATTTTCCTCTGAAAAAGTCAAACATTTTTATCTAATATTTTATTAGAATTATTTGCCAAAAAGCAGGAAAAGGATAAATTATTTGTTCCTAACTTTCCAAATGAATCCACTTTTTTTTACGGTAACAACTTTTTTCATATCTAGCCTTCATTGGATCTGTGTGTGATGAATGAACCACCACTCCCATTAAGATGAGCTATCGTTTTCAAAAAATATACCTAGCGTATATGCTTGCATATAAACCGAGTTTAAAACTAAAAAAATACTAAACTAAGGGGTCGGCTTATACGCGCATAGGTCTGATCTCACGAAATGGTCTAATTATTCAGAAATGTCCAATTTGAATATTGCAACCTTCAAATATCGTTTTTAGTTTACAAAAATATCAAATATTGCGCACACATCCTAGCGCCGCCGTCCACCTTTTTGATTGAAAACATTTTACAGTACAATTATTTTATTTTGTGTTTTATCGAAATCTAGCATCATGGCAATAAATTACAATCGACATGAAAAGATTTTGGCGCCGACCAGAAGTACCTATGAGGATGCCGAGGATGTTTTTGATTGAAAATATTTTACGATTAATTAGTGAATAGTTCAAGATACCCTGGGTGGGCGTGGCCATGGCAAAAAATCTATAAGCAAATTGTGTCATAATTAATTAATCCTCAGTTTTGATAGTGACCGAGTATAAGAAGAAACTTTTTGAAACCCTTCTGAATTTTTTTGAAAACTGAAAAAGTCGCCAATAACGCGTGCAATTGCCTTTTGCTAAAATCGCCGATTATTTTCATCATTGTGACCTATTATTTAGGTCGTAAACGCCTTTACGTTGGCGTTTATCCTCTCTAAATCACAAATTTTCCACAAATTTGTGACACGATGACTATGATAAATATTTTATTTTATGGGCTTATGAACCCGGCGAGAATTCTAAGGAAGTATTCATAAGTGGAAAAGCGGCAATATAAAATACTAAAAATGAAACTCTAAACAATATAAGTTTTGTTGAGGCCCGCGACAGTCTAAAAAAGCTTTTCTAGGCATCGAAAATTGCAAAATTTCGTGTGCCTACGGCACACATTATGTTTATGACATCGACAGGTTATTGTTACGTGACGATACACGGCGCGGTGTTTTTCGGTAGGCTATCCAAGTTTGCCCCCCCCCCCAAAATTATAGAAAGTGTCCGCCCCCCTTTACGAAGTATTACTTTTATGTATAATGAAAATTCACATGACTATTTTTTAACAGTGATAGTCATCATGTTGCATGAGAATGTGTTAACTTCGCACCATACACTATATATGTAATAATTTACCATAATTTTCTCTTGCTCTGTTGATTCTCTGAAAGCTTCCAGAAGTTTTTTATTCAATTTACAACCTGCAATGTTCAGATTTTTCACTCCGAAGTTGACCACTGTTATACCAAGTTCAGCCATTCCTTCAGAACCAAGAGTTTCATTGTAGCTGACGTCAAAATTTGATATCTATAATAAAAATGAGAAAGACTAAAAAGTTGTACAAACATCCTTGTTTTATGTCACAATTTCCACAAAAACTAAATTTAGGTGAAATCCTCCCATTTCCACAAAATTATAATTTGGAAAAATCAATGTATATTTTTTTATCATTCCGAAAGGGATTTAGAAATGACACATATCATTTTTGAGGTTTTTTAGGATTTTTTCAGAGTGATTCATTTTCTCTCTGCCAAATGTCGAGGTGAATTTCCTAATTTTTTTTTATTGAAGCCATATTTTTAAAAGGCAATCATGACATACGACTCTTGTCGTCCTAGTGAGTTATTGATAAAACATGTCTTTTACTGTGTGTGAACAAACACTCAGCGACCACTATGAGTGGTGAATCCATGTGTATGGAGGCTCATTACAATAAAAAATCATCTTCAATCACATATCTCACGAGTATCCAAGATTCAATTAAAAAAAAAATATTTGATTTGATTCTGAAATCATCAGGTATTCGAAAATGTCCAGGCCTACCAGCCAACCAGCAAAATTTCCACTTTCCAACCCTAGTCACTTGTCTGTACATGTTTAACAGAAATTGGGCGACCCCAGGAAATCTTCATGTGACCCCAACGGCGACCCACAGTTTGGGCGACCCACAGTTTGGGAACCACTGCTCTATGTGGTATGAATGAACCTAGAAATTCTAAGAAATCGCTGTTAACCAGTCATGCAGCATGCCTAACGCATATGATATTCATTTTGTTCCCTATATTACAACTTCAAGAGATTCAAATAAATTTAAGGAAATTAACAATATATGTTGTGTCAATAATTATAGCAGTATATTAATGTTTAATTCATCAAAACAAACTGGATACATTTCCCCTATGCCATTAGATTCAACATAATTGTGCCCCAAAATGATTTATTTATTTTACTTATGCAACATACTCTTGCATTGCTTTTGCATGAACTTTGCAAACTCTTCAGTTTTGCCTTATCCAATTTACAGCATCTAACAAGCAAATTTCTCAACTCAGAATTCCCAGACATTTGTCCAATAATCTTAAATCCTTCATGCATGATTTTGGTGTTCCCGCTTACATCTAGAGTTGATATCTATAAAAAATCGAAATGAATTAGAAAAATGTCCTGAATGAAACTACTTAAAACAATACATTTTGATGCCGTCGGTCATAGCATCTAAAATAGTTTGAGACAGTGAATTTCAACCTTTATTGGTCTATGCAACACTTTTGATATCATAAAGATTTTTCAGAAATACAAAAAAAATTAACTAATATTTATCTCAATCAATTATTGGCATAGAAAAGAAAAGCAAAAAACAACAAATAGCTTAAACTTAGAGTTGAAAAAAGACCCCAACAAATTCCAATTCGTAGCTAAGAGGTACAAATGAAAGTTTCAGGCCACAAAAAGCTGAAATATCAATAGGCCTGATCACATGTCCACTGGAACCGGTCTAGCAGACCACAAAAGGGAACTATTGCACACTTCAGTATGTCGCCTGCGATTCAAATTCGTCCTATAGGTCCATAACATCAGACCACCTATCTAGGAGGTCTGGAACTGAGCTGCACCGTTCTTGCTCAGGTGCTTCGCCATGGTACTAGAAAAATTGCTGTGAATGACCTGGTACGGCAATTGTTTTCTTTTTCATCTTTGGTAAGCGAGTTGCTTATTTCAACAAATAAAAATTCAGCTAGATAGGGACAAGTTTAGTTCAAACCTCTTCTACATCTATTGTGTCGCTGTAGAACACAAATTTGAAATACTGGTACCGGTACGAAGGTACCGGTACGGCAGTACCCGGTACTGGTGGGATCCCGGTGCGGCGTACGGTATTGGCATGTTAGGTTGTTGTTTTAAAACTGCGATCCACCAGCGATTACGTAAACCGCCCTACGGCGGCGAGGAGTCCAGCAATCCTCTCGCACATAACCATCCCCGTATGGGATTCGAATCTGCGAGCCCACGCAGAGTAATCAGAGGCGCGGTGGCGAGCGTATTCTGTAAATAACTTCACAGAGCTTCAATCTGGAACGTGCATATAATTCTAATAATGTAATTAACCTTTGTATCGAATTTCTGAATTTTAGGAAAATAAAATATATGCAGTGTTTGCAAATCATGACTTATTTGCTTAAGTCCGGCAGCTCTGTTTTCATTTATTTGGTTTGGACATATAATCGAGGGCGCTAATTGGTCTCCGGGACCACTTTGATATTTCCGAATCGAACCGGTTTGCTTGACTGGATATGATGGACATGTAATCAGGTCTGATGTGAATTACACTGTGTAACAAAACATTTTTTTTTGGTTCCCAGCTTTTTACCTAGATTTCATGCTAGCTATTTATATGTAAATTGAGTAAATTCGAATTTTGATTTTGTGAAAATGGGGTGATTTTACAAAAATCGGTCAAGGTGACTTATATATTGATTGTTTCTATATGCAAAAAAAAGAAATTCTCGAAAATTGATAGAAACACATTTTAGACAATTTACTTCAAACCAAAAAGACTTGAAATAAAAATAAAAAAGGTATTAGATTTCCAAAAATACAGTAGTCTTGGTCGATTTTGCAAATATGTCTCTATATGTAATCACCGCTCATTGGTCGATGATTTTGCTGTCATTGTTAACAGACATTTACAATCCAATAGGCCACGATATTGTTTGGGAAATGAACATTTTAAATTCAACAGTTACATCAATATTTGGATGAGACCGGTTGTAGGGTCCCATTTGATGTTGCTTTTACTGCTGAAAAATTTAGTATTTTTTAGTCATTTGCGCCTGGAAATAGTCAAATTCATCAGGACTGCTAAGCAACAAAAATGATATTTGACATATTCTATAGAAACAATTCAATAAGTTAGAGACGGGCTCACTCACTTAAATGTTGAAATCCATCATTTCTGATAACTCACCTGTTGATGCTTGATGCGAACAAATTCGAGAGTTTGTCATCAGTTAAATCACAATCAAACAAACTGATTGTTTTCACAGGCAATATATGAAGAATTTCACCAAACTTTTGAAAGTCTTCCAGTCCCATCTTGCTGTTGTGGCTCAAAGCCAATGCACGAAGTGAATATTCGGATTTCTGAATAGTATTTAAAAAAATTGGATTTGTTTTTTCAAATTACATCAATGGCCGCTAAAATTTAGAATTGTTAACTGCAGTGCCCTAGATACTGAATAGCGACATATTCTGACAGCGCATATAATAATAGTGGGTTCAAACCTCACGTGCATCCTCTCACGAATGGTGTGATAAATTGGGTATGCTACATGACAGACTGGAAATATACCAGCTCTTGTTAGCAAACACGAGATGGAAAGAGCATGAGCACGAAAACATCGCTATTTCAGATAAAATGCATATAGGTGTATTTAGAAGGTTTAAGTTTAATATTCAAGATTGACCTGAGCGGATCTAAATTAATTGTATTATTTATATTTTTGCCAAGGCTTTGTGATGCTTACAAATGGTATTTGCATTTTCTTTGACTACACTTAGGACTGATAATTTTTTTGTTCATTATCAAATTTCTGTTCAAAAGAACAAAATTTTATTTAAATACCTACCCACCTTAAAGCTTTTAATATCTTTAAGTAGCTGATCCACATCTTCCTTTTCAAGCTCACATGCCTGAATCATCAATGATTCTGTTTCAGATTTTTTCAGAAGCTTCAGCAAAGATTGTGAGTAGATTTTCAGTTCTTTCATTCCCCAAATACTTATTTTTGCAATCTGAAATATGATATAGCTTTTTAAATGTTATACAGCTGTTTCACTCTATATTTCATCAATTAACCTTTATGTAGGATTATAAAAAAAACTAAGTCAAGCATTGATCAGCAAAAGAGGAATAGCTTTTATGCGATAGAAATATCAGTGTTAATAAATGTTAGAATTATAATACATGATAGGAATATGCTTGTCAGCAAATTGTCTATTACCCTGGTCAGTTTAAAACAATGACCGTGGTTCGAATAACCACTGCTTGGTTATGGGTTTCCCCTATCACCAAGATCATGCATTTTGAACAACCAACTTATTAGCGATTTCAATACCAACCTTGACTGATAAGTGGTTATATGCCTGGTGTGCTACATGAATAAATTGTTCAACTTTCCTTCAACCAGTGAGATGAATAGGAAAAGATCTGGTAATCTAATCTACGTACCTTGCAGTTTGTCATCATTTCTAGTTTTTCCAAAAATATGTTGAGATATTCAGATGTTCCACATTTCTGCACATTCAGCATGTCAAGTTTGTCTAATTTTGAGATGATTGTAAGAAATACATTAATATTCGCATCATTTAAGTTGTAATGTTTTATTGAAAGATCCTTTATGGCCTCAGAAATCACCCCTTTTTTGTCATCTCGATGCTTGTAAAGCACCTCAACAAGGTCGTATGTGTCTTTTGCTTCTTGAATATCATTTTTCAGGAGTCCTAAATCGGAATGAGGTAGCATTATTGCAGGTAATATGCTCAATTTATTACACCTGTAATAAGATCCTAGCATCAATTAATAATAATTGAAAAAAGACAATTTTCCCGCCATACTAATTTTAGTTGTTCACAAATAAGTTGCCTCCTATTTGTTAAATATGAATAAAATATACCATTATATAACAATGATAACAAAAATCTACCGTTTTGTTACATTTATGAGAACAGGGCAGCACCAAACCGTAACCTAACTACATGGCCGGCAAATAAGGCTGGAGCCAAAGGGCCCCTAGAGCCCATAGATGGCTCGACAATCAATGTTTAACTATCATTCTCTTTAGGTTAGTATTCAAATATTGAAAACTTGTTGTTACAGAATTTCACTAGTTCAAAATTCTTATTGATGAAATTTTTTTTATTTTTCAATTCGGCTAATTATTCTTGTACCAAATATTCACCATTTAAAAAAGTAAAAAATTGAATTAACAAACGTAATGCCATTTGCAAGAACTATATTAGATTTTGAATTCGATTCCACAGAATCGCTCATCCATCAATATCTTGAAAAAACTGAATTTGTTTTAATTATAATACATTCACCATGCTATGAATCATTGCTTGTAATCAATACGCATATTGACATTTAGCGACGTCATGCTAAGCTGTTCAGAGAGAAATTGGGGAACTTTAAATGAGTATTGGGATGTCATGATTAGGGAATTGGGGAAACTTCAGGATGTGAGCATTGCAATTAGTTGCTCAGTATTTTCCTCATCTGTATAAACGTATTTGATTCATTCACACTTCAATATCATTTTACTAGGTATGTTCAGGTAAAAATGCTATTGGATTTGGGATTTTAGGCAACGTCAAAAATATTTTTTCGAAAATTTGAACGAAAGATTGTTCATAAAATGCTATTTGATATAAGAAAGCTTTAAACAGGCCAGGTACTGGAAAGAGCATGCGAGTGTAGTGATGAAGCTTTCTCAATTTGGAATGATGTAGATGCAGGCTTAAAGGGTGCTCAACATGCAGTAAGGATATATATCTAAATATCAAACATTTATACAGGTCTAGGATAGTCAATTTTGCAAGACAATGTACTCAAATGCTTATTAGGATCCCCCTACGTCATGAACACCCTTAAATTAGCAGAAGGCTATGTGTCTAAGTGGGATGATTGGGATATTTCTAAGAACATCCACGTTTCTACATAGCAAAGAGGCTTGAACAGTATTTCTTTAGAATAAAAGGTATCATTATCATACTTTTATATTATTTATGATTTGGAGCCTTATTTTTTACAGAAGTATAACATGTATATGAATGTCACATGGAAATCTTATAATTTTTTTATCGGCTTTCAGCCACATGAATGCCACAACTTCCTGTTTCATTTTTATTTCAAAGCTCTGTAGTCATTGATTCAACTCTATAAAATTTGTTTTCAAACAATATTGCATGCGGGAAAGAATAAATCGTAAAGTAGCGTTCACGTATTCCCCAAATATGTGATGTGCCGCCCTTAGGTTATGAACCACTGTAACAACAAGTCATAGTTCACATAGCATTGTACAAAAATTTAAAACTGCAATGTTAGCATATTTTGCGCATTAATTAGTGATTTGGCAAGTCACCGACAAAAACAGTGGGTCTCATTGTGAAAATGCTCAACACAAAATGCAGAGATTATGAATTACCAGGATATTACTTCCGTAAAAATAAAGTAAATCATTTGATTTGTTTACACTTGAACTGACGTTTTTCACAAAAGGTATGTTCAATCTAGAACCATGGTTCTCAAAATGGTGGGCCCGCCCGGCAATGAAGGGGGGGGGGGGGATTTGCGGGGGGGTGGTCATGGTATATAATTTGGACCTCCTGAAGTATGCGCACCAAGGTGGCGCACAACCGGAACTCAGGTTGTGTACCAGGTTTGGTTTCAGGTTATGCGACATCTTGGTGCGCATACTTCAGGAGTACCGATAATTTTATAATTTTTTGAGAGGGGCGTGAAGCTAATTAAAAATAAAAAGATATGTCATATTTGATCTTGCGCCTTATTTTGGATATTCACGATTCTTTACTTTGGATATTTACATTCGATCCACGTTTGCGAACTTTGATATCAAGCCATTAAATTACTGCTGTTTTTTTAAGACTTACTTATGTGACTAAAGATTTTCATAGTTATCTTTCATCAGGACTAAACAGAAAAATAGGCACTTTACTTTGCCTTGTAGAAACTTCATTAGAACTGCGTTTAATATGTTTGATATCGGAAAGACAGCAGCAAACTTTTCTTCGAATTGAATTGTCTGCTTTTTTATTGGCGAAGTTTTGTTGTACTGGTAATTACATTGGTAAACTGTGAGATATATCACTTCCAAGATATACCACCACCATAAACATATTGCATAAACCACACTACTAAAAATATTGTGAAATTAATAAAATGTGGCAGAATTACCATATAGACTCGGTTCATCTACTTGTTGAATATTTTCCGTTCCAGTTTTTAGAATTTCGCTCCTAAAAACAAAATTTCTGTACATTAGATTTTATTGTGTTAGTGAAGTTTATCACTTGAAATCAGATATTAGGATTTCAGAGCTTCAAACATTTGTTGAAAAGCTGGATTTGTCCATCAAGCTAAGATATCGAAATCCACTAGGAGTTTATGAGTAGATTAACCGAGCAGTGCCTAAAGAACAAGATACTTTTACTGCCATATTGAGGTTCAGGCTATAATTTTAATTGAAGAATCTCAGATCCTAGTCTTCGTATGTGTGAAAATTCAATCCTAATTATCATTTCCATTAGGGTGACATGAAAATTATGAGCAAAATTGTTTTTAAGATGCAATTTGTGCAACTGCTTTTGGCTTTACTGGTCAAAGATCATAAGAATAAGATTTTATAATGATATTGTATGTTCACCATGACGAATGTACATTTACACTTAGACATTGGTCTTAACAAGGCTATGAACAAATCTATGATCTGTTGATGTGAAACTTGTTCCATGGAAAAATTTAGTCAGACAAAGAACAGGTGTTGATCGTGAGGATGCAGAAATCATAATGAAAACTCAAATATAAAACAAATCTCTCATTAATTTTTGGTTATGTACATATTTTATCTCACCTTGGACTACTACAGGAATCTCCATCCGAAGTTCTTCTCCTCTTCACATCTGCAGTTCTAGATGAAGTATCGCCTTTCAAAATTAAATATTGAATTATCACTTTGCACAAGAATAGTAACTCATATTAAGGATAGATTGAAGTACTATATTCTTCTTATTATTGTACAAATTTTATCAGATTTATGATAAATTATTTCAGTTCTAAATTAAAATCATTACTGGTATATTTTATATTCCATGTTAGGCCACTAACACTGTTTTTCAGTCTAAAATCTCTTTCATAATTATACACTTCAATTACCTATTCAAATACTAGTAGGGTTAGACTATACAAGTAGGGTTAGTTCGGATACCTATAATTTTCACCATCCGGATAACGGATATATCCGGGTATTGCGTATTTTAAATATCCGGTTAACCGGATAGTTACTGCTGATTTTAGAGAACTGATTTCGCAGGATTTTCGCGGTGAATTGACCAAAAACCACCACACAATTCTGTTGTAAATACTCACATATATATTATTTTTCTTGAATAAGAATGATTGTGCATTTTAATATTGCATGTGTCGATAAATAATAATTTAAGCTCAGTAATCGTACCGATGTACAGCGGAATAATAAAATGAAACATTTTTTGAAAATATTGTGTCCTAATTGTTTTTCCCCCGACTGCTAAGTTATTTTCTCCTATTCAAATAATATGTAAAGATTTATATTATTTCTACTTTATTGTTAATTTTTTTAAAAGTTTCTTTTTGTGTCTAGAGCCTCTTTTCTTTAAATTTTGACTCGTACTAAATTTTAGTGTCGCAGACTCACAATGATCATTTCTGATCATCCGCACCTTCCTATCAATTGCAATGAAATTTAATATTGTCATGTATAGTATTTTGTGTTCTATAATATTTTGTGATTTCTTGCACGAAAAAAATAAACTTTGTTAATATATACCACAAGAGCATACATATAAATGAAATCGTGCATTTCGAACATTTTATTTCGGTGGGAGAAGTATCCAAAAAAATAGAATATAGGGGGGACAAAGTCCGTGAAGTGTATAGGAAATATAAGTAAGTTGAACAAAAATTTTAATAACAAAGCAAATTGATGAATATGAAAAAACCGAAGTGGTCAGAAATTTCTTCTAATTTGAAAACTTCACTTATTTAACATGTCACTGTAAATATTCTCACGTTTGTACTAATTAGGCCACAACTTTAAATCTATTTCCATTCGAATACCTTTTGAACTAAGTTAACAGAGCCAAAACAATGCTGCGCCAGTTTTTGAACAACTTTACTTACCACCCTAAATGAGTAAACGAAAAACATGACACGATACAGAGTCTGTCAAATTAAGTTTTGCTGAAATTTGTTTGTGAAAGTTCCATAAAAACCATAAATGTAATAACAGCCTTTCCTCCTCTTTTTGAAATTTTCGAAAACGTCACTAATAAAGGCGGTCGAATTTTACAGGCTAATTTTGTTATTATCGCCCATCGTTTTCTTCCGCGTCGCGTGATTATTTGGGGAATTAACATCGGCATTATGCCAGTTTTAATTTGAAAATAAGTTACATCCCGTGGAAAGTTACCCTTGTTGTAAATTCATTAAATGCAATTATTACTGAATTTTGGCGATTCAACAGCGCCTAAAATAGAGTCTTGTTTTATCTATCACTGGCTCCTAAAACAAGAGTCGTGGTATTTTCGTTAGCATTCACTTCCTTATTTTCAGTCAAAAATGTGTGTTTCAGATCTACTCTCTTAACGATAGATAGATTCGACGATAGATAACATACTGCGGCCATTTCAGTTCCGGGCGAAATAAAACAATTATCGGTGTTATATACCGACGAGACTGAACCCGACTTTTCTCTCGAAAATGTTGATATATAACTATAAGCAGTATATATTTACGCTATGAGCTAATTAATATCTGCATTTATTGTACTAAATAAATTATACTCATTGGAATTGCAATAACAGCTCAAATTTGATGAATTTTCAAGATCGCTAAAATAAATTGGATTTGTTCGTGCAGCTTACCATTTATTTTCATATCTAGAGTAGAAATGCTTTTACTTTAAGGTAGGTCGGGCTTTTCTATAACGCAAATACGCAATAATGTCGAGTAGTGTGGATATAAGTGATTATTATATGCTCTGAGAGATGTCAGTGGCCGGTATGTTAGTCGTTGGTGGCCACTCAACAAAAAATATAAAAATCACTAATGCGCATATGCATTATTTATACTGCTCTAGTATCCGGTTAACCGTTACAATAATATCCGGATACAGATAGCAAAATACTTCTTAGTTAACCGGTTAACCGCTATCCGGATAATCCAACCCTATATACAAGTGCTTATACATAGAAATCACTGAAGTAATGACTTAATTATGCTGCAAATGCTGTTTATATGAATAGCATTTCAGAAATGAGAGAACTTCAATATTAAAAAGGTGATGAAAATGACAAAAAAAGGAAATGGTGGTCAAAATAAATATTTTTACAGAGTTTGATTACTATGTGATGTTTACAACCAATTAATTATTTTAAATTTGTATTAACGTATAATAGGTAGTTTGACTATTTGTTTGAATAAATAATTAAAAGGACTCTAATATTAGCTAGCTATTAGCCTAAAATATGAATAGAGGCTTCAATCCACCTCACTCCCGAAATTTAATATTGTCTAAATTTGAATGCATTCTCTATTTGTGCAGAGGCATGACATCCTCTTTTATGTAGATAATTCAAATTGTACAAATTTCATTAAAAGCATATCCTATTTTAATTAAATTAAAATAGAAATACAGTAAAATTTTCGTAGTTGTTATAGATTGAATATTACGCGACAGAAAAAGTCATTATGGGTTATTTTAACAAATGAGCAAATGCAGCTACCGCTCACAACCGTTACATGAAAATTTCCAATTCTGATTTTAAACGGCTGACTTGCGAATTTCCTACGCCGTCTTATTGGGGGCTATATGCAAAAACACCTTTTTTCAAGCCTAAAAACAAGCCTCGTCTTATTTGCCGGGTAGACTTATTTTCCGAGAAATACGTTAAATCATGAAAACGTAACGCAAGTAGCAGAAATACTTGCGATAATAGCTATGCATCGATTCAAAAAGTATTTCAATCTTGGATTTTAAAACATACAATTTGATAAAAAGTTTTGGTTCATATGTAATGTTTAGATTTTTTCAACTCTGGAAATCATTAATAATCAAACCTACCATCAATATTTGTTACATTCTGCACGAATTTCTCGGCATGAATCTGCTCAGCTCGAACTTCTTGAATGTGAGAGTCGGTTATGCTTGTCTCTGTAAGAAAGTAAGAATTGTTATATAAAATATTAAATTTTCAAATTTAAAATCGGAGCGTAAAGAGAATTCTGCTGGTTTTACATTGCCCTTTTGGTTAAATATTAAAATAAAGGCACATGATATTTGTTAACTGGAAACACTTGAAAAACTTGACGTGCTAAAGTTCCGCAAGAGCGCAAAAATATTTTTTAAAACTAAATATAGTCGAGCAGTTTATCTCCTACTATTACGTCCGCAGATTGCTGTGTTATTTTAAATTGGTAATGCATATATTAGGTTGTAAGTCGACGCAATCGCGAGTTACGTTGAACACAATTAAATTTAAATAGAGAGACAGTTGAAATTCTCGTAGTTTGTCATGGATTGAATATTACGCTACAGAAAAAGTCATTATGGGCCATTTTAACGATTGCGCAAATACGGCGACCGTTCACAAGCCGTTGCATGGAAATTTCTAATTTCGATTTTGAACAACAGACTTGCGATTTTCCTGCCCGGTCTTATTGGGGGGCTATATGCAAAAAAAAACTTTTTCAGTCTTAAAAAAAGCCTCGTCTTATTTGCCAGGTGAACTTATTCGCTGAGAAAAACGAAAAATCATAAAAAACTTAACGCAAGTAGCATAGATCCTTGCGATAAAAACTATGCATTGATTAAAAAGTATTACAAATTTGGGTTTTACAACAAACAATTCGATAAAAAGTTTTGGTTCATATTTAATGTTTAGATTTTATCTGGAAATTCTGTGGAATCAAACCTACCATCAATGTTCGTTACATTCTGCACGACCTGCTCAGCATGAACTTCATGAATCTGCTCTGCTCGAACTTCTTGGATCTGAGAGTAAGTTATGTTTGTTTCTGTAAGAAAGAAATAATTGGTATAAAAAATATTGTTTTTTCAAATTGAACATTTATTTTTAAATGATGGCAATATTGCACGAAAAAGAAAATTGAAGGGGGGTTTTGCTAACCAGAAAACATAGATTTTAAAATTGGGCATTCGAGAGCATTGATAGCCTTACTAGAGGGCCATAATAAGGGTCGGTATAAAAATAGAAGCATAAAAAAATTGATGCTCAATATCTTGAATTATCAGCGAGTATGATTTTGATTAATTAGGAAATTCCTCTCATTGGTTTTAAATGTAGCAAAATAATTAAAACTTCAATTCCCAGTCAGTCAGTACACTCCTTTAACTCCTTTACCATTGTTCCTGACAATATTCGCCAAGCACGGACCATACCTATCGAGTTAACTCCGAGCATTCTCGCCACACACGATTACAAGCTGCTAGTGTACCGATATCCCTGCTTACACTCAGCGTAGGCTGGCAAATAAACAATTACGTGGTTGCTTTTCGGTGGATGGTTGTTCGTACTACTGACGCAGAGGTGAACGGGGCTACGTGGGTCGTGCGCGAACCACCCCAAAATGAAAATGACCAGTCGAAAGCCTGGTTTGACAAGAAATGAAATGAATTGATTATTTTATTCCACCCGATGGCGGCAAAGATGCATCTACAAGACGCTGCAAGGTCTGCTGTTCACACTGCGACAAGAGTGGCAAGAAACTGCGTGAAGAAACCAGATACCATTTTGCAGAGTGTGATGTGTCTTTGTGTGTTATACGGTATTTTGAGGCGAATCACCAAAAAGAACTACTGAAATGATTATAGGTACTGAAATGGTGGAAAACATTGATGAACTAGTGTAAAATTTGATGCAAGTTAGTGCACACAGTGTTTTAGATTCAATTTTATGACATAAATGATGCTAAACATCCAACACAGCTATAATTTTATCGAATGGGACATGAGGTACAATTTGAACATTTTAATTGCCGCTGGGGAGCGTTTTCCAACAAATTATTCAACGGTAAAAGAGTTAAGTAAATTTTAAAAAATAAAACATTATGAAACTTCCTAAAGACACAAATATGTAATGAGCTTAGGATGAATTATTATATTCGGAGTTGAAAAAAACAGATTGTATAATGAATAGTGAGACAATGTTAGAACAGTTTCCAGATTACTGCTCAAAGATGGCCTTCTTAGTGGGTCCTAATAAAAGGTGGTATTAAAATATGCACATCATATATTACAAAAAATATTGAAAGAAATATTTTGTATAAAAAAGGTTGTTATTCTAAATTGAGCATTAAATTTTAAAAGATGGCAATATTGAACAAAAAAGAAAATTGAAGGGGGGTTTTGCTAACCAGAAAAAACAGATTTTAGAATTGGGCATTCGAGAGCATTGATAACCATACTAGAGGGCCATAATAAGGGCGGTATAAAAATAGAAGCACCAAAAAATTGATGCTCAATATCCTGAATTATCAGCGAGTATGATTTTGATTAATTAGGAAGTTCCTCTCATTGGTTTATAAATGTAGCAAAATAAATAAAACTTTTATTCCCAGTCAGTCAGTACACTCTTTTTAACTCCTTTACCATATTCGCCAAGCACGGACCATACCTACCGAGTTATCTCCGAGCAATCCCGCCACACGCTGTTACAAGCTGCTAGTGTACCGATACCACTGCTTACACTCAGCGTAGGCTAGCAAATCAATAATTAAATGGTTGCTGTTCGGTGCATGGTTGTTCGTACTACTGACCCAAAGGTGGACGGGGCTACGTGAGACGTGCGCTAGCAACCCCAAAATGAAAATGGCCAGTCGGAAGCGTGATTTGGCAAGAAATGAAATAAATCGATTATTTTATTCCACCTGATGGCGGCAAAGATGCATCTACAAGACGCCGCAAGATCTGCTGTTCACACTGCGACAAGAGTGGCAAGAAACTGCGTAAAGAAACCAGATACCATTTTGCAGAGTGTGATGTGTCTTTGTGTGTTATACGGTATTTTGAGGCGAATCACCAAAAAGAACTACTGAAATGATTATAGGTACTGAAATGGTGGAAAACATTGATGAACTAGTGTAAAATTTGATGCAAGTTAGTGCACACAGTGTTTTAGATTCATTATGACATAAATGATGCTAAACATCCGACACAGCTATAATTTTATCGAATAGGACATGAGGTACAATTTGAACATTTTAATTGCCGCTGGGGAGCGTTTTCCAAAAAATTATTCAACGGTAAAAGAGTTAAGTAAATTTTGAGAAATATTTCATCGTAAACCTCACTAAAGACACAAATATTTAATGAGCTTAGGATGAATGGTGTGACAACACATTTTAAACTACGATACAGACATAACTCATGTTTAATGTATGAAAGTTAAAGTGACTTCTTGCAATAAGAAGCAGGCATTGACAAGAGTACAAAAAGAATATTTCATCTATCAAATATGAGTTTTTCAAATTGGGCATTCAAGCAAAAAATTAATAAAATTGTGCTATTTTTACATCCCCATATATTTAAATATTAAAAAAGGGTACAATAGATTTGTAAATTAAAAACTAAATTGAGGTGATAAGAATTCCCAATTCTTCAATCTCACGATATTCGTGACAGAAGCCAACATGTGAGATAAGCAAAATAAGTTAATTCAAGTTCAGGTTTGGGTTTTATAATGAACAATTTGCTAAAAACAAGTTTTGGTTAATATTTAATGTTTAGATTTATTCCACATGGAAATAAAGCAAGTTACAATCAAATTAGAACTTATGGCTCCAATAACGTTTTTGCCACATGCTAAAGATCTCTATCATAGTCATAATCAATACATAAGAAAACGCTTGCAGAAGTAAGAAAATGTGCAAACTGTGTCAAGCCAAGATGATTATGATCTTTCCAAGTTTTGTAGCTTTTAACGTAAGATTACGATCACTATAATGCTTTGTTTCCCATGAATGTGGAAATAATGTGAAAAGTATGCTGTATAAGTAGGATGGTATTTACATAACTATCCCAAAGGAGAGGAAAGTTGATTAGACAGCGCAAGCATATGGCGTACCACAGTCTCTCGTCTGGCTACTAATTCATGCAGAGATTGTATGGGTCTTCCAAACCATTAGTTACCAGTAGTTATTTGTTATCAAATGCATGGACTTGATGATAGAGGAAGCTGTACCCAGCCAGTGGTTAATTGAACCACACTACGACAATGTCTCCTATCAAAAATAATTATCCCGCACAAGATTCTAACCAGCAAATTTTCAGAGGGTTAGCAAGGGTGCAATGGCAAGCATATTCCTAACAATTAGAACCATGTGTCACAATGCCGCATGTTTGGATTGCCCTGGATTGTTGGAAAAATTCAGAATTGTTGGAATGTTATGTGAGAAGGTGTGGCACCAGTGTTTTGAAGTTATAGTCATTATATCTTTAAATAATTATATAGTTCCAGCTAAGTTGTTATCAGGTCGGCGTGATGGACTTATTTAAATCAAGTTCTAAACTGTTCGATTACAGCCCCAAAGTTGAACCCTTGGTTCACTCTAATGTTGGATAAAGCTGGCTGACTGTTCAAAATGACCACCTATGCCTTTTTAATGCTAAAATTGCCACTTTATTGTTAAGAATACAAACATGACCTGAGCGCGCCATGCATTTTAATGCTAAAATGACCAACAGAGAAGCAATTTTGCTACCCTTCTTATTGCAGGGCTATATGTAAACACCCTCTTTTTGGGTGTTAAAAATCATCGTCTCATTTGCTAGGTAGACTTATTAAGCAGGAAATACGGTAGCTGTTTTGTTGTTTGAAGGAAATAAGCAAATCACATCATGAAATTATATTCATCAAACCAGAGATCAACCTTCAAGGGGCGTGTGACCGTTTCTATTGAGCAATTGCTGAAAACCTAAAACGTCAATATGTAAGAAATACAGCACATACAGTAATTATTGGCTTTGCTTATATTTCAATGTCATGTTGTAGTTGATCAAGGTATAATCAATGACGAAATCTGGGGTAAATTATTACAATTACAAAAAGTTGGGCGATCTCTCACCGCTACAATATGATTCTGACTGCCAGTGATTGCTCCTTTGTATATGTGTGTTATTCACAGAAATCCGCGACAAAAAATTAAATCTAAATAAACCTGGAAATATACCATTTATAACATTTTCTGACTCCAATGTTACCCCAACCATCCTTCGCCCAGACTTGAAAACGGTTTGTTTCACCAGATTAATTATTTGTTTTTAAACTATGGAAGATTCATTGACTAGTGTAACCCAGTGGCCGCTTGGCCGAGAAAAAAATGATTAGAGGAAAAAACATGCAATTTGCCTTATTGCTTGCATTATTTGCAAACAGATCCACAACAACAAAAGTATATAAACGATACATAGTTGCAGTCTAGACCAGTGCTCGTCAACCTTTTTTGTAATGGTACACCCTTTCAACCAGTTCTTAAAATCTGGTACACCCCGCCCGTCCTACATTTTTAACACGTAAAAAACTCAATATTTAGAAGGTATATGTTTATATATATGTTTACGTTGGCGCAATAGTATATTATTTAGTTAATGTGCCGTTTACTCTTGGATTCCATCGGCAAATGGTTATTTTTTGGATTTAATTCCAATGAGTGCAGACAACACTTGTTCCGAAAGGTATGTCGTAGGGCTGTAGGCATTCGTAAGAGAATTGTGTCATCTTTTTGTGATACTCGGGAACTTCGAATAGTGCTGTCTATAATTAGTTGTAGTTTTTATATGTGTTGAACTCTGCCTTTCGTACAAGATCGGATTGTAATTCACGCAGTTCACCAGTTATGTGTTCAAGAGCAACCTTTTCACTTGTGAATGGCTGAACGATCCACATTAGAGAACCAAGTTCCTAATATTCAACATCCAAAAAATAGGCTCCGAAGTTTAGTAGTAGCACATCAAGATGCTTACCGTGTTTCCCCAAAAATAAGACAGGGTTTTATTTCAATTTACTCTTTAAAATTATCACTAGGACCCTTTTTTGGGGGATGCCTTTTACTTTCATTTATCAAAAACAAAATTACCAAATATAGAATTACGAAATGTTCAAATATACATACTCACTTTTCATTTAAAACTGCTAAATATAGTTTATAATCTTTTGAAACGTGTATATGTCTTGCTGTCGAATAGGTCAAAAAAAATTTGCGCTATCGACTAGGACTAGGTCTTATTTTAAGGGGAGGGCCTATATTAATATTATTTCAAAAATCCAGGCTAGGTCTTATTTTCGGCGAAACAGGGTATGCATAGTTGATCTCCTCTCGGTTTTCATGTCTGCTTTTCAATTTTCTCATTATTGAGTCTCAATGAAATATTACAGACATTCAAAATCGGAAAAATCATATTTTGATACTTTATTCTGCCACAACTTCAATTTCATTTTAAAAGACTCAATCTTGCTACTAGCTTCAAAAATATCACATCCTTCCCCCTCGATAATTTTAACTGATTTGCGATTTTAAATATGGCTGTTAGAAGAGACAATTTTGCAAGCCAAAGAAAAAAAAAACAGCAGCCATCGAAAGTTTTTCCTGGGTTAGAAGCATATTATCATGTGATAATGTGTACCTCACAACATTCGGCATGGTACACCCCTGGTACAGCCCATCGACGTGGTACACCCTTAAAACTTTTTGGTACACCGTGGGGTGTACTATACACCCGGTTGACGAGCACAGGTCTAGAACCACCAAACGTTTGTGTGACTTGGTCAAAGTTATTCGTTGAATATTTCAATTCTCCATACTAAGAAATTGTTTGAAAAAAAAAAAAAAAACATGAGTATGATTGTTGAGTTGAAATGTGAAATTTAAATTGCTATACAGTGCCAGTATTGGACATTGAGAGAAATTATGCCAGAACAGAATTTGGCATAGAAAAAACCTGAATTTGTGTGAAAGTTTGCATTTCAATCAAACGAATTTCTTTTCATTCTTAGAAACCGATGGTGGTTTAGTACTTCATTATAATTACGAGATTTTTTAACTAAAACTGTGAATTTGGAGCTGATGTTGCTCATAATACAGCGCTCCAGAAGGATGTGTAACAAAATGGAGGTAACTAATTTTGTTCACCAATTTCGCATAAGTTATGTAAAGAGACTGAAACCTACGGGCAAGCAGACAGTCCCTGAACTCATAATAGAACTAAAATAAGAAAAATTGGAATAAAATTATGGCCCAACTTTAATATGGTACACATACTACGAGAGGACCTATAATACTGCCTGATTATATCAATACGACTGACTTACTAGGCTTGGTTAGCTTTGCAGCTTGCTCAGTTACTTCTTTATCTGATTGTTCTGCTTCTTTTTCAGTCATCAGGAGTTCACTTCTAAAACAAAATAACAGTGTGAAATTATTCTTTCTTTTTTGTCATCATTATATTTATACAAAGTTGGTTTTGCTATTTAATAATTTCAATAAATTTTTTTATTGAATCAAATTCAAATAATTATGCTCTGCTGGTATAATTTCGTTGAAGCTTTTGACAATTATATACATAGCAAAAATTAAGACTGAAATTATGAAGATAATTGGATACCAATGGATAATAGGAATCAACACAGAATCTCTACTAGAAATTGACCAAAATAAATGTTTATTGGGGCATTTGGATTGAATAATTAATATTTCATACAAGATTTCAATAAATCATGTCTGCAGACAAAACACTGAAATAAACCTTTGGGCATACGTTTTCGAAAGGGATACCAGCCAAATGGGACCTATTATAAAAGTCCATGAGAAGCAGATCATCGCAAACTGCTCTGTTCAGTCAATAGAGTAGAACTATTTTTACAGCATTTTGTCAATACGCTATCACATGAGTCAAATAAAATAAAATTGATTTTGTGTCATTAGCAAGGTGGAGTATAGTGTTTTATTTACTATCGTCATGGTCACGGTCAAGTACGTTTCGAACCAGACGTTCAGCCCACACAGATCCAAGTGCCGATATAAGTTTATTAACAGTTCCCAAAGTGATAAAGACTCAAACACGGAGATAAAAAATTTCGTTAATTCATTATTTGGATGGAGTATTTTCCTATTGTATTTAATGGAATTCGAGGCGATCTTGAAATCTCCAACGCAAATAAAACAACATGATCTGCCGCAAGAATGGATTTTGAATGAAACGTTTGGGGGACGAAAACCATAATAACGAATAAATAGGTTAAAAATTGAAGGGAATTATCTGGTGCCCGATGCATATGGATCTTATATTGAATTTACATTTTGAAAAATCAGAGATCACAGTTGTTTTGTTTGCGTTGAACTTTTAAGTTTAACTCCAGTTTCTTTATTTAAATAACAAATATTTAAACAAATGTTAAAATAACAAAATATTCATTCAGGGGGTTGCATTGTTGATAAATGCATTTCGCACTTGAACTCACACAGGCCTAAATGTCTGAGCCAAATCATCTGTGTGCAGAAATATCTCTGAGCCGTACAAATACCGTACATCAGTTCACACACTACACAGCCATGTCAAAGCAGGCCACTGCTGTGTGTGGGCTAATCATGGATAATTTCTGATTCAACATTGCTACTGCCCAATACATTACACACATGCAGGTGGTGGGCATGGGATTTAATCCCCTAATGCCTTAATCAGGCCATTATGCCATGCCTACTTATAAATTTCAAATGTGAGTCATATTTTAAAGTCACACTACTGTTTTATCTAACCTTGGGCTTTTAGCTTCTTTTGAAATCTCCCGTTTTTCTTCAGTACTCTCTGAATTGCTAAGTCGTGATGTGGTCCCTTAGAAATAAAAATATATAACTATTAAAATGCAATTATTTAGGACACTAATAACTGTTTTAAGTTATGTAATATTGTCAAACAAATAGTAAATGAATAGCCTGGAAACAATTATATTTACATACTTCAATATTTTTCAAGCAAATATTTTTAGATACTCTAGATCAGGGGTCGGGAACCTTTTTGGTCAAGAGAGCCATAAAATATACATATTCTCAATTGCATGTCCCTGCGAGCCATATAACATTTCTTCAATTAATCAGACCTGAAATGTTTACTCGAAAGTCAACACATACAATGTCAATATACATTTAATGTGATTTCTGATGCTGCATGTAGTCGCTGCGGGCCTTGAACGGTTGCTCACTTGCAGCCCAAGTTGAAATCTACGATACTCATCACCCTTTTTCGTTTAGGTTACTCCGTAGTGTTTTTTAAACTATATCGCTTTGTGATGTCACAATATATGTTCCAGAATCCCCTTGTTTGTCACAATGCCTCTCTAGTGAATATCTTACATAACATAGACATGTGCTGGGCGCGCGTTCTCAAACGTATTGGGAATTTCCTGCCAAATTTGGCTATAAAAGAGTTTGAAATCTCGAAACAATAGTAAGCCTAGTCTTAGAATATTAGACTTTTCTGGGAGCCATATGCCGTCACCAAAAGAGCCATATATGGCTCGCGAGCCATGGGTTCCCGACCCCTGCTCTAGATTCAGTACAATTTCTGATATCCCAGCAAAGTAAAAATCATTTTTTGAATAAATAGTTATTTTAATTCACAACAATACAATTGAAATACAAAAACTGTTAAAAAAATATTATGGTTTAATGTGCTGCAAGATGACAGCAAATTTTTTAAACTATAAATTCTAGTCATTTTTGAGATTGAAAATTAGAATAGAAATAATAAATAAGAGTAATATAAGGAATCAGACAGAACCAATGCAGCATTGATTGATACTCATTTATCATTGTATAATTCCATTTGAAAATATCTAAGATTTACCAAATTCTGTTTTCGAAGTCAGGATTGGATTTTGTTTGAGAATTACATTAGTTGCTTTATCTTCATCTTCATTATCTTTTTTTTGACATTTGAGTGTTTTTCCATACAGGCAAATCTGTAGTTTCTGTAATGAATAAACTGTTTTATATGAACTTATCACAAAATGGTCATGATAATAAAAGACAGTCAGAATTGTATCTATCAATTACCATGTTATTAATCAATGTCTTGGTTGATACTGAGAAATATTTGTGGATCTAATTCACTTAAGAATTTTTGACTTTTGCTTGGCAAAACAGAAACACGAATTATCATAATCTTTATAAAATATTATTTGATATTGTAAAATTTTTGTAATTAATTTCATTTGAAAAAAATAAAATAATTTATTAATGCAGTAGAGCAAAATAAATCATACATTTTGGGGAGAAAAAAATATTCACATTGTTTATATCATTCTATAAACAAAAAAACTTGATCGTAGAAACATCAATGTGCAATCAAAATTACCATGATTTTTTTTTTATCACCTCAACAATTTGAACTTTGTTTGATATGTTATATTCATATTTTATATTTGACCTATATTCTATTCTATATTTAGTTTTTCAAACCTCAGACAGTAATTTTTATACAAAATTATTTGATATTGCAAGACTATTGAAATAAATTTCAATTGAAAATAATAATAAAATTTTTTAATGCAGTAGAGCAAAATAAATGATACATTTTTGGGATGAAAACACATTATAACACATGTGTGTTATTATCAAATATTTATTTGACTTATATTCTATATTTTGTCTTTCAAACCACAGATCCAATTTCATCCAATTGATTCTGTAATATTTTTTCATCTTCATCTGTAATGTTCCATCCATACAACGCCAACTTCTCTGTAACAATAGGAAGCAGATTTGCAACTGCAACAATTTTTTCATGGTTTGCACGATATTTTGGAAGGTTATCTTCACTCATATCCAAGTAATCAATCTGTTGAAATATACAAATACAAAGAACAATCAGACTTGAATAAAATACATAACAGTTATATTCGTCATAGTTTGTCTTTAACAAGGTTTGCAATGAAAAATGCATGCTCAATAAATGTTCAAAATAATTTATGTTTATAAGAATTGAATGGAGGCAATTTACTCAGCTTTAGGCCATAGCCTTAATTTGCGCCTATCTTAAAATTTGTAAACCTGGAGTTTGTAGAAAACATAGATTCTCGAGCACTACTGAACGAAACATTGCAATGCTCCCACAATAACTGGTGAGGAGATGAGAGATTGTTTGACCTTTGGTTAAATAAGCTAATAATTAAGCTGGAATTATATTCTTCCTTCATCACAGTGAAATTGGAGCAATGCTATTTGATCAAAGCACAATTCAGCATAGCTGACAATACTTAGCTGCCAACTATTAAGAAATTACAACAAAGCCATGCCAAACTGCAGAAATGAGAATGCTTAGAAAACCGCTCAATTATATTCAGTTTCGGTGACAATATAAGGGCATTACTGAGCTAAAATACCACGGACCATGGTACTGAAATACTACAATTAGCAGTCATAAATCTACATTATAAATTGCCAACTTATAGTCAGACTTGATTTGCATTTTTCTGATCTTGCGCATTCATCAAATTTGATTTGTTTTTGCAACACTGACTGACATCTTTTTATAAAGATATTGATTAGAAAAATTCTAATGTCTGCGATGAAAAATCTCAAAAGTCCATACCGTTGTAGAACAATACCATATTTATTGAAAGAATTATTGAAATAAAAACAATGAGTGCCGCATTGCGGTAATTCAATAATGGCTAATTGAATTGCTCAACAGTGAATATAGTATATTTCGACGCAACTCAACGTGTGTTATGCACACACAATTTCGGTATTTCACAATGCCTAGAATAGCTTTTTGGTCTTAATACTCCGATATTTTCAATCAAAAATTCGAGTTGCAGATTCACTCTTTTAATTATATTAGGAGCCTGACGCACTTGAATACATGTGAGATGAAGAAAATTAGTAAAAATACAGTTTACCAACATAATATAGGTGTTTGAATAACCATGAAACAATAACGAAACAATTGGCGATTTAACAAAATTAGCCTTGTGAAATCTGTACGCAATATTATGCGAGAATATACGGTAGTGACTTTGCAAACCCTGGGTGCACCAGTGAGCATTAATGATGCTATCAAGAATGAAAAATTGCAATATGCCATCCCACGAGTGCACACAGATAAAAAAATTCTATAACAAATTAAATGCGGTCGTGAAGATATAAAATTTGTATTGTCGGAAATAAATAGAATTTTGGATTTGTTTTTATTTTTCATTATTTCTTTTTTGAAATCTGCTCCATAATTTCGATTTGATTTTCTTGTTTTTACTCATGAACACTTTCACCAAAAAGCAACTCTTTAGGATGATAGGACAACAGGAGAATCTTAGGTTTGCAAGTATAGGTGTGATGACATAGCAGTGAAAGCATTAGACTTGAATATGTTTGCATCACAGGTTACACACCTCGGATTCAAATCCCATGACAACCACTCAACACAATGTGTAATAAATTGAGTGGGTAATGCCGAAGAATAAAGATTCTAGGTCTTTAAAAAATAGTAACTCTTACAGATATCCGTGGATGCTTATACGTGCCTTGCTCAGAGTGAAAGGTGTGAATAAGTGTCAAATAAAACAATTTGTTGAAAAATATATTTACTGAATGCTCAAGAAAAAAAGAATACTTCGCCTATTTGTTTTATAATTTCAAGCAAAATTAACTGAGCTTGGAAGTTTAACCGAAATAAATAACCAAATTGTTCATCGGACCCAAGTTTGATCAATAAATATTTCAAACAAATTTTTTTACAAACAAGTTGGCCTGAAATCTATTATTAAAACTCCCATGTTTGTGTTGCCATGCAGCCAGAACTCCTTGATCGGTAAGGAAATTTAGGATTGGTTCATTTGTGAATCAAAAATAGAATTATGAACCTTTTTAACTGAAAAAAAAGTTTTTCCCGATACTCCTAAATTTTGATGTCAAATATGCAGGTAATATTTCATATACCTATCTATTGAATTTAAAAACAAAACAAACTAAACAAACTTTTCCGAACACACACAGACTTTCTGACTTCACAACAATGGACACTTGAGCAATTATAACATCATAAAGATAAAATGTAAATTGAATTTTCTTGAACAACACATTTCAATATATATTTACTTTGATATTAACAGGGCCTATTTCAAGTTATTATCACTATAAGCTCACTCACTATAAATTATCACTATAAGATTTGAGTGACAATAAGTACTTCATCTAAAAATTGCTTATCGATTTAAAACTAAAAAAATTTGAACTTTTTTCTTTCGTAGTTTTGAACCCTCAACACTCGATTAGGCTCAGGGGGCGCAGCCAGGCTTTTTAACAGGTGAGGAGTACGGGGAATAAATTCCAGGTTTATGTGTATGTTTATCTTTATACACATTTAAATAATTAGTGATTCAAAAGGTTTGTAACACACAAATATATCTGCAGAAATATATATCAAAAATTCATCAAATCAAAGTTCTACCACTTCAAATTTGAAGACAATATATAGCAGGGGCCACCAATCTTTATAAAGCAGCGGGCTACTTTCTGGGTACCGACTAAGCTATGAGCGCTCTTCTGAAGAGCCAATTTAATATTAATGGTATTTAGCCAAGGAGACACTGATAATGTTAATTATTCATGAAACTATCAAAAGTTGTGCTATCAAATTTATATTTTACCAACACATCTAACAAATCGTGAATATCATATTTTCAACCAAGACCAAATCTGGTGTATTCCACCTCAGTACGTGGGACACCTGGTATTGCATGTTCTCCACCCTTGTGTTGTATCTAGTTTGCAACTTGACACCGAAACTCTGAGTGAGTCTTGTTCATACATCACGACACTTTCTGTGTCAACTAGAGCCCTAAAGTGTGACAGGCCCTTATTGGCTATGAGGTGGAGGTCATTTAGCAGTGTTACAATTTTAAGCTCCATCTGTCCCACATCAAGGCTGAACGTTGCTCAACAATGCTTGACATGTCCAAGTTTCATTAAAAAAAGGTTAGAAATGAACGACAGGCATATGGTTCGAGCTGACGTAGTGTGTGTGATGTCATAATTGGAATGACATGTGACATTACCGTATCACCTATAGAAAAGGCTGACCGTTCCAACAATTAATATATTGTCATTTCAATTTTTCATATAAAGTTTAAACAAGAATAGCAAGAATAAAATTAATAGATGTAGCTTACTGATAAGCGGCGCTGTTTCAGTTATTTTAAAACAGACCAGCAGGCGACTCATACGGTCCCTGCATACGACTTGGTGCCCGCGGGCAACGGGTTGGTGACCCCTGATATATAGTATACCGTACTAATTTAAATTAATGAAATAGTTATTACTCAATAATGCTACTTATTTATTATAAAAAAAAATTGATTTGATATACATATAGCTAATCCAATTTCTCTAAAAATGATTATACTAATACTAAGCCTTTTTATTGTAGATCCAAATATTTCCAAAATGCAATGATAATTTTGTTAATGTTTTAAATCAGCAATTGGGCCATTCCCATTAAAACACATATAATTCTCATGGCTAGAAACCGGTTTTCTGGTGCAATAACGTTTTATCACAGCCTAGGTTTGGCTTATGATAACACCACAGTGGATTGTAAAGAACTTTTATGACTTCATATTTTAAAAGGCACTTCACAAATGGCATAGCCTAGGGCTGGCTCTCATGGTCTAAATCCCGCCCAGACTACAGCCAGCATAAATGTATAAAATACAATAACAGAAAACCCAATTATTACCATATTTCTGAGATTAATCCTTTTCCGCAAAAACAATATTGTTAACCTAATTATGCCCCGGTAGTAAGATGTTCACCCGGTAGTAAGATGCCCAATCAGGGAAACAATGAAATTTATCTCTAGATGAGGTAAGAATCCTTCATTTTATTTAACTTTATATGATAGACACAACTAAATACAAGTAACAATACATTACAGACATTGCTATATAATAGAGCTAAAAGAAAGTTACTATAAGTAGATCATTGTGCCACACCTCTGTGTTAGTTCCCAACGATAATTTGAAGGCTTGTAGTTGATCTGATGACAGGTTACAGTAGTCAAGGGCCAACGTTTCAACACAGGATTGATTGGAAAGTATTTGTCCAACTGATGATAAACCTTCAACTCCCATGGTTGTGTTGCCAAGCAGGATCAACTTTTTGATCTACAAGAACAAGAAAAATTGAGGATTATAATTAGTCTGATCTAAATTTTGCTGGTAAGAATGAAAAAAGAAAAAGTCACTGAAGGTGTGTTGAAATATTGAAATGCCAAAGCATAGACAAAAAAGAATAAAATATTTTAGGCCTAAACCAAATTTGCAACAGATGCATTGGCATCAGAGGTGGAAACAGCACTGTAACATGGACAGATATTTTTTCACCTATATTTTAGTCGGAGACGAGTTTAACATGATAGTTCTATTTTGGAAATCCCAAGCAAAAGATGTAAAATAACTGGAGTCAAGAACTAAATTACATGAAATGTCAATATTGCCTGAACCACAGTTCAACTCTTTCAAGGTTCCAACCTCCGGTCTACAATACATTACTTAGTGTCTGACAAATTTGATAGTCAATACCCAGAATATTCTAGTCATTCTTAGATGGGTCATTTTCGAGAAACTTTTCTCAACCAATTGACCTGCTAAGTGTGTGAGCCCAGGAATGTTCAAAACTAATTGATCTAAAATTGATTACAATCAACATTCCTAGTTATTGATTTTATCAATAATTTAGAATAGTTTTTTCAAAAATTATTATATTGGGCAAATCTCATAATATGACCAAAAGGGCATTTATTTAATATGTAAAAACTGTAAATGAATAGAAAATCAATTAATACATTGGTTTATCACCAAAATGTATTCATTTAATACAAAATGACAGCTAATTGTTTTTTTTTTAAATTTCAATTATTTTATTTCTTGAATAATTGTTTTACATGATGAACATGGCGAACCTCAAGTATCAGTGACTGATTATGCAGAGCCTTGTTCAAAGCAATAACAAATGGATCAAAACTTCTTTAGTCGGCGGGCCAAATGTGAAAAAATGAAGTCCTCGGCGGGCCGGATTATTACAAAAAATACTTCGGTATCCGATCTTTGTTAAATTCTCTACACTCTCTGTCAACTTAACGTTTCTTGGGATATTCCGTGGTAAATGACACTTAATATAAAATCGAATTTCTAAAATCTATTTAAATTTAGAATATAAAAATAACTGATAACAGTAGTGGGGAATGTTCACAACGCTCTCTGCTTTGAACTTATAATGTTTGTTTAACAAGGGTGCTAAAGCAATTGTTTATTTCACCAGCTCGCACTGACAGTGCGGTGAGAGTGGAGCTATCTGCAACATTCAGGAATGATGCGTCGGACCACATTACAGAGTGTGGTTGGATACAGTCAGCGGGCCGGTCAAAATCTCGTCACAGGCCAGATCTGGCCCTTGGGCTGTATGTTGCCCACCCCTGAGTTAACCCATTATAATTCCACAAAGCTTTGTTTGAAATACTTTTAAATAAAATTGCAAATCTTGATTAGGAATATTCTTTCCGGAAAGTCTTTTGTATCACAGTGTTTGCTTGGAAAGAGCCTTTCTCAGAGAGAAAATTGATAAATCAAAAACCTACAGTTTTTCCATTAAAATTCCATGAAGCTTCATTTAAATATTACTCATCCAAAGTTCTAATATCTAAAACAAAGTGTAAAATTTTTTTTCAGCTTTGTATTACCTTTATTGTCAGTGACTAACAGAATACTATCGCCACAGCCATTTATTTAAATCCTAGGGGCCTCAAGCAAAATCTTGACAATTAAATTTGAACTATTAATCAGTTTTATTCAAATTAAAATTATACCCCTTCATTTTAACGACAATCAGGAGTGCAGCCAGTGGGGGGGGGGGGGGGGGGATCGTACATGGGATATATGGGATCGTAATATGGGATCAAAGTTTGAGAATTTTTTTTTATTTGAAGTTTCATCTACAAAAAAGCAACAGCGTCGTTTACGATCGCGCATCATGGCTTCGCGGTCAAAACGATTTTATTCTGTGCGTTACCACCGTAGCGCAATTAACACTGCTAGACTTTTATCGTATTTCGATATGTTATCGTTTTTTATTCGGCGCTGATAATGATAAAAAAGAATGTGCAATTGTTGATTGCAATTCCCGAAGGCATTTTTTCCTTTCTCTCCATGAAACGAATTTAACCGCCGTTATGAGCGCTCAATAGGAGAGAAGGGTTATAAGCTAATTTAAGGATTTTCTTTTCCGACTCAATCACTTTTATTAATACAAATCAAAGCAAAATAGAATTTCTTAACATTAATTTACAACGAGTTACGGGTAAGGATTAACCGACGGCTATCGATAACAGGTAGAAACGATAAATGTGAAACGATTTTGCATAAAGCGTGTCAACACCGTTTTTGTAAATTTAGAAACGTCGAAACAGATCAGTAAGACAAGTAAATAAGGTGTTTTATGGACATTTCTCGAGATACTGGGAAGAAATATTATTTTTGACCACGTGGAAATGCCATTATTGCCGATTTATTCACGTGTTTAGTGTCAGTGTTTTAACCCAAAGGTAAGTTACCTGAATACTCAACACTGAGTATTCACGAGATTACCAATTTTCGGAGTTTTTTTTAATATTAATTTAATACTACAGAATCACGGACACTACCTAAAATTAAAAGCATAGAAATATCAACTAACCGCTTCACAAATATCGCATCCCGGGATCAGTAATAATAATATTGTTCGCTTAAAATTGGGACCGTAATTTACAAACTGGGATACAAATCCTACACAGAAGATAAAAATCAAAATAAAATTAATTTGTGTTGTGAATGCACTCCTTAATAGTTGTCTTTAACATCTTCGCCGATGTGAATTCACAATTCTGTCCGAAATATAAAATCAAAACTACGATATCCGCCGTTGCATAAGAATTAATATTTGCTAGTGAATAAAAAAGTGCTTTAATATAGTTTAACAACATTAATTGGAGTGTCGGCCTCAGCCTTCGATTATGAAAAAATTTTGAAATAAAAACGCTGCATTGTTACGGAGTTTTCAATCTAGTAAAATCCGAAAAAATATATATATTTATTGTCACGGCGATCGTTTCGGCGGCCGACATCCCAATTAATAATATTTAAAATGACAATACTCATTATTCGGTTTTCGTTTAAAATATTCCAATAACTCGAATGAAAAAAAATACGATTTTGCCCGCCGGTAATCACGGCGCATGTAAATAATCATTGAATGGCAATAAAAAATCAACCTCATTGACAATAAATTCCAAGTAATAGTTTCACATTTCACGAATTTGATCGGCGCTGCAAGCGAGCGTGTATTTCTACATAAAAACCACTATGACGCTACAGAAGTATGCGAGTTATAGTTCTCTCCAAAATTAATTTTCGCAATTTTTAATGTTTTATTTCTAAATGCGGGTACCCGCTGACTACGGATCAATGGTCGCTGCTTGAAATAGGACTTGCAAAATATTCACCAAACATCGTCAGGAAAAGAGAGGCGGGCTATACCTAACTGTGGAATTTTGCTGTGAACGACGCATACTTTTCAGTTCATCACATGCCTTACGTCATCATGAATTGTACTTTTGGTGTACTGTTTTAATTTCACCGTAATCCCCCTCATGCAGCAATAATTTTTTCAATGTTTTTTAAACCATCAATTAGGCCATTCCCAGTCACACACACATACTTCCCACGATCAGAAACAGGTTTTCTGGTGCTTTATCACAGCCTAAGTTTCATACAGCATTTTTAAAATAATTTAAAATCTACTCAAAAAATTAGAGCATGTTTCAAGCCGTCAACTAAAATGTCATTTTTCGCACAATTCAAAAGTTTATGTATGACGTAATGCACACAACAAATACAATTTTCAAAATTAATTGAGAGTAAGAGTTGCAGGGACAGCTAATTTTGGTCTAATTCGCAAGAATGCGAATCAAAACAAAATGTAATCGGGCAGTTTGCCACACATTTTTATGTCCGTGAATTGCCTTGGTATTTTTGTTTTATCTACGTAATTGCAGATTTGGTTCATCACAATAAAATAAATAACAATACCATTTTAAATATGTATATCGATCATTGATATAATATATTATTTAACAGAAAAACCATTACATATATGTTGAAAGAGGCGGCTCTTTTACCGAATAGCGAATAGCGTGATCTCGACGACTGACTTAGGAGCCGCACCGAGGAGTTTATTGGGCGATGAATATGTATTTTTGATTTGCTAATGTACTTTATATGTATTTTAATTGTACTAAATTAAATATGCTTTTTGGGATTTTATACCAGATCTTTCTAACGACAATAACGAGTTCGCACGAGCGCAATATATATCAAAACTAAATATAATCAGGCAGTTGGCCTCACATTATCATGTACGCTGATCAGCGTGGTATTTTAGATTGGTGATAAGTTTATTTTGTCATGAGTCGCCGCACCCCGAGTTACCTTGACCACAAAGGAATTAAAATAGAGAGACATTTTGAATTCTTGTAGTTGTCACAGATTGAATATTACAGGACAGAAAAAATTATTAAACCGTGAAAAAGCCGGCATTTTTAACAAACACACACAAAGACCGTTTCAGGAGACATTGCATGAGAATTTTAGATTCCATCTTGTGACCTTCCCCCCCTCCCTGAGAGTATCTCGCGCCCCCCAGTTTAAAAACCATTGCTCCAAAGAAGTGCTAAGGTTCTTCACAAGTGTGAAAAAATAAAAAAAAATGCGAAAGTGCTCTAGTCGATTTCCTCGTCCTCTTTTAACGAGTCAGGTACCCCAGTTTTTGTTTCAACTTTTTTAAAAACACTGGTAATTGATACTCGAAAAGGCATTGTGCTCATTGTAAAGGATATATTCAGACTGTGTTCAGGTTAAAGCCCCTCTTTTTGAAATTTTCAGAAGAATGAAAAATTTGCTGGTAACGCATACGATTTCCTTCGTCGTTTTCGCCTGCATAAGGTGTTATTTGGGCCATCTTTATTTCGGAGTTCATTGACCTTTAAATCACAAATTTGCCCCGATAAAAGTATTGTGCCACGAGGACGACCATAATTCCTTTTTTTGGTTCTCACATGGAACTGAGTTATTAT